TATGCCCCCCTCTGTTTCCAATGAAGTGCACCTACCGACAGCGCGCCCTGACGAAACTCATGGCTGGCCACTTCGTTTCTGGAGGATTGAGGCAGTGCTTTCAGGCTCCTCCTCCCGCTTGCTGTTGCTGCTTCTCTTTCCCCCTACAGCGCGGGTTAAGGGGGAAGCCTCAGCAGGAGCGGCTGCCTGCCCCTGGCCTGACATCAGGCGGGAGAAGCTGCGTGTGTGCAGCCCAGAGACCCAGTGCACCTATGTATGCAGGGCCAGTGCCAGCTCTACGGCAGGAGGGGCGGCGAGGGATGGTTGCTCCCAGTCTCTCCTCCCCCCCTCCTCCCCCCCTACAGTACCTGGCTTTTCAAAAATGCATCTGACTTCTCAGGGCTGTATGCATTGCCTAACATGTGCAAGCGCGAGAGAGCAGGTTTATGAACTAAGGAAGAAGGATGAGAGGAAGTTATTTGTTTAGTTCCAGGTGACCCCATATCAGCCCATAGTGTGTGTGTGTGGGGGGAGCTTTCCAAGTCAGAAATGATAAGTGGCACTCTAATTAGGAGGAGGGAGAGAGGCCGCCTCTTGTACTCTTGCACTCCATTCAGATGCATCTTGAAAAGAAAAAAGAAAACTAACACCCTTTTGGCAGCTGCCTTTGAGTTGTTAACGCTTTCTCAGTGCTCAGGAAAAGTGAAACGCTCACAAACAAAACATCAGACCTACGGAAAACAGCTGGGTCAGAGGAACGTGGCCTTTAATTAGAGAGGGAGTGAGAGCCCAAAAGTGGAAACCAGGGCGAAGGGGCTGCAGAGAGGGAGGCAGGAAAAGAAAGTGCGCACATAATAGGGGCTGCAAAACCCATCCCGTCCCCCGACCTTTTACAATTGCAAAAGTCAGCTCCAGCTGGGGTGGTTTTTCCCCTCCCTTTGCAAGCCACCATCTCCAAACTGTTGTGGCTCTTTAAAAGCAGAGCAAGAAGGCACTGTGCTGGGTAACTCGTAGCTGGGAGAGCAGCAAGTGGCTGAGGGCAGGTTCAGTAAGAGTCTTCAGGACCTCCCCTTGCACGAAAAAGAAGAGGAAAAGGAAACTCTATTCATAAACCTGCTCTCTCGCGCTTGCACATGTTAGCAATGTATACAGCCCTGAGAAGTCAGATGCAGAAAGGTCCCCACCCCATCATATGCACCGTTTATTTCAATGCCAGTTAATAGGGTTGCCAACCTCCAGGTAGGGCTTGGAGTTCTCCTGGAATTGCTACTGACCTCCAGACTACACCGATCAGTTGCCCTGGAAGTAGGGTTGCCAACTCCAGGTTCAGAAATGCCTGGAGATTTGGGGCTGATGCCTGAGAGGCTGGCATCCCTATTAGGTGGCAGTAATGGGGGTGCCTCCGTAAACCCCAGGGATGAAAACTAGAATATCAATCAAGAGCATAAATAATCCAGTTCCTTTCTATGCTCATAGATCAAGATGGGTAGCTGTATTAGTGTATCTGTAGCAGAGGAAAAGAGCAAGAGTCCATTGGCACCTTAAAGATTAAATTTTTGGCAGGGGATGAGCTTTCACGAGTCACTGTTCACTTCTTCAAATATTGCAATATGATTGATTTGTTACCAATGTTCCACCATCGTCACATAATATTGTACACTAGCACTTTATGACTGGTTTTATATTTGCTCTGTTTTTATCTGTTTTAATTTTTTATGTAAACTGCACTGAGCCTGCTTTGGTGGGGAGGGTGGGGTATAAATCAAATAAATAAATAAATAGTAGTTAGAGTGCCTCTGCGTAGCAACCCTGGACTTCCTTGGCAGTCCCCCATCCAAGTACTAACCAGGGCCAACCTTGCGTAGCTTCAAATGGAAACACTTGAAAAGATATAAGGGATGACAAAGGACAGCACAGTTAGTTCTGAAAACGAAATCCTTAAAGTGTGGAATTCTCTGCCAAATAATTTTAAGTCAATGAAAGCACTTGGGATTGGTTTCCTTACTTTGTTTGGATCATCTTATGCTTGTGAGCAGCTGTTTTCAGCTTTGAATTATATCAAATCTGACACCAAAAACAGACTAACAGATGACCTGAGTGCTGCATGTGTTGCTCTCAAACTTACAAAGTATGAGCCAAGGTTAGACAAATTATCAGCATGCATACAACAGCAAAAATCACATTAATTGTTCAAAAGCATGCCAAATGCAAACTTTTACCTTTCAATAAAAAGTTGTTTGTATCATTGAAAGCTCAGTTATTGTGTTTTTCTTTTAAGACAAAATATGTTAATGTATGAGTTGTTTTTTCTAAACTAAAACCTCAGTATTCAGGTTAAATTGCCGTGTTGGCACTTTACAATAAAAAAGTGGGTTTTGGGTTGCAGTTTGGGCACTTGGTCTCTAAAAGGTTCACCATCACTGGTATACAGGGTTCAAGTAACAATAGTATTGAGATTGTTAGACATTTAGGACTTTCTGTCCTAAACTGCTTCTTAATTATTTGTCATCATAAAAGATTTATTGTAGTGGAACCTTTTTAAAGTTCCACAAGACACTATTGCTTTGTTGTACTTTCAGCCTCAATGTAACATTGTTCGGTATTTCTATAAAATGCCCATATTTTTGCAACGGTACCAACATTCCATATTAAATATATATTATATGGTACTACATACAAATAGCTACAATACCATTCATTCATACATCTTGAGAACAGGATACCACAAAATCATATCATTTATCATCTTGTTATCATTTGTTATTGCAATGCTGAGAAGATAAAAGCCCACCTCTGGTAGATCAACGGATTGAGGACGTTAGAACTCTATCAACGTTTGAACACATGGCATATAGATGGCAACTGAGTATGGACTTGCTTTTAGAAATTTGGAAATCATTTATAGAAACTTACCTGGAGACTAGGAATAAGGACCGTTGTGGAAATAAATACAACGAGCTCTACAAAGAGGGTGGCTATGTGCCCTAGCCTTGGGCACTCAGCATCAATTTGATGTGGTGACCTCAACAGGTATAGTGACACAGAACTTACCATTTTCTTCCAGGGAACTGATCTCTGCCGTCAGAAGAGCAGCTGTAATTCTGAGTTATCTCCAGCCCTCCCCTGGAGATTGGCAACAATGACTTCCCAGGAATAAATGGCTCTTTTGTTGGGTAGAGTCTATGGCATTGTACCTGTCTGAGGGCCCACCCCTCCTCAAAACCCACCCTCTCCAGGCTCCACCCCTAAAATCTCCAGGAATTTCCCAACCTGGTGGTGGCAACCCTACCTCCTTCCCAGCCAACCATCAACCTACCTTTATCTGTCCCTCTGAATTAAACTTTCCATCTCCCCCCCCCCCACCTGCAGCCTCTATCTAGGAAAAGTAGTCTTCCCAAGCAGGAGGGAAATGACCTCAGCAGGGTATAATGACAAAGATTCCACCCTGCAAAGCAGCTGTTTTCTCCAGGGGAACTGAACACTGCCATCTGGAGAATACTTTTAATTCTGAGTGATTTCAAGCCCTCCCTGGAGATTGGCAGCAATGATTCCCCAGGACAAAATAACTGCTATGGAGGGTGGAGTCTATGGCATTCTATTCAGCTGAGGCCTCTCCCCTCCCCAAACTCTGGCCAGTTTGGTGTAGTGGTTAAATGCACGGACTCTAATCTGGGGGAACCGAGTTTGATTCCCCACTCCTCCCCTTGCAGCTGCTAGATGACCTTGGGTAAGCCATAGTTTTGTCAGAGCTGTCCTTGAAAGGGCAGTTCTGGAAAGAGCTCTCTCACCCCACCTACCTCACAGGGTGTCTGTTGTGGGGAGGGGAAGGGAAAGGAGTTTGTAAGCCGCTCTGGGACTCCAAGTGAAGGGTGGAGTATAAATCTAATCTCTTCTCTTCTTCCATGGACTCCACCACAAAATCTCCAGGAATTTCCCTACCTGGAGCTGGCAGCCAATGAGTCTCCCACCAAGGCCTTTGCCTTTTCACTGACAGAACCAAGCTTGGTTGCCTAGCAACAGCCAATGAGGGAAATGTTAGCCCCACGGCAGGAGGAGAAGAGAACGGTTTGACAGCCAGTGGTCCATCTCAGTAGCCAGTCTGTCACAGAGGAGCCAAGCAGAAGTAGAAGCGTCTTTGTCAGGAAAGACAGCCGTTTTGGAAGGTTATTCTGTCAGGGAAGAGTATCCAGGCTGGCAGTGGGCAGGGTAGAGGAGCGGACCCAGCACCCAGCCAATGGCACACGAGTACTCTTGAGTGGCAGTTGATGGGCCAATGGCTGATAGAAAGCACAGCACAGCCAATGGGAGAGCTGGAAAGTGCCAGCACGTTGGGGCTTATAGCTGTTATATTTTTGTCTCATCCTTATGTCTTTTTTCTTTTTCTTTTTTTTTAAAAAAATCTTATTTAGTTTTCCCTTGTTCTTTTTTTCTGTTTTTAAAGGTTTTTTTTAATCTTGTGATGATATGTAGTTGGAAAAGTTCCTGTTCTCTGACCTGCAATTATTTCTATCGAAGATAAAGCTCTAAATGCACAAAGCTAAATAAATATATATGGCCTGTCCCTATTAAACTATATGGAAAAAGCAGTTTGCCCAAGATCTTCATGTGCACACCCGAACAGAAACATAGCTTTAGCCAGAATTAAAACAACATAAGTGACTAGAGGAAGAATGCTTCCCCTGTGCTCACTAGGACAGCTTTAGAGCCAATGTGGTGTAGTGGTTAAGAGAGGTGGACCCTAATCTCAAGAACTGGGTTTGATTCCCCACTCCTCCACCTGAAGCCAGCTGGGTAACCTTGGGTCAGTCACAGTTCTCTCAGAACTCTCTCAGCCCTATTTATCTCACAGGGTGTCTGTTGTGGGGAGAGGAAGGGAAGGCAATTATAAGCCACTCTGAGACTCCTTCGGGTAGTGAAGAGCAGAGTATAAAAACCAGCTCTTCCTCTTTATAGTGAAAAGTATGAGGAAAACTTTTTCAACAAAGGCTTTGTCTCTTGGTGCTAGCATTTCATTAGCTTACCATTCGCTTGAGGAAGTTTAACTGTTGAAATGTAACTCCTCTTGCTTTGGTGAACCTGAACAAACATGCAAATTTGCATGGCACTTGTTGCATGGCTTTTTCCTGAAGGTACGGGAGAAAAGTTCCTACAAAAGAGAAAAGATAATGACTAAATTTATTTACAGTTAGGATGAAAAGTAAACCAAGTATTGACACGTAGATATGCAGCAAGACAAAGTATAGGAAAGTAAGGGAGACATGATGTTTGCAAAATCTTACAGGAAGTTGTTCAAGGTTTCCTGCCAAACAACCCATCAAGCTAATCTCTTACACTCCTGCTACTGCCATTGGCTATAAAACTGTTTATAACTAGATGAGCATCAACAAGATGGAATATTTACTTAAAAGTAGGTATTGCCCATAAAAGTAGCATGGAGAGTTTAACACTACTAGCTATAAGACAACCATAAAACTTCATTTTTAATTGTCACAGTAAAACTCTCATGACAACAAAGGAAAACAGTGAAGCAATGTTTATGAGACTGGTGTACGTGTTTTAGTTCCTCAAGTCGATATACCACAGTTGTAAAGAAGACTCTCTAAAAAAACTGGCTTTTGTGTCTGGAACAAGCCGTTTTGTTTAACATGAATTTTTCATACCACTGACCAACAGTACAATCCTAAACACAGATTTAGAAAGATTGATGCAACTCTACTTAGAACTGCACAGTGAATTACTTAGAAAAACCACATCTAGTGATATGCATTACTCTTTTTTATACAAGACATACATTCTACTGAAAAAAACACATGTATTTGGCTGGAACAGAAACTGATCTATGCTGGAACTGGGGGGGAGGAGAATCTGGTGACAGACATTTTAAACACAGGTGCCTTTAAAAAGATAAGAGACATCCAAAGCAAAAACTGCAATACTTGTTGCAGCATCACCTACTAATTTCAATTGCCGCTTTCCTACTCCTGTTTTAACCGCTGCAACTATGAATTCACTTATAGATTCGAAGTCAACTCTCTCCACCCCTCTGCATATACACACATTGATTATAGCCCTCCTACAGACAGACTTAAAAAGTAAAGGTAAAGTTTCCCTTGCTCGAAAGCCAGTCGAATCCAACTCTAGGGTTGCGGTGCTCATCTCCATTTCAAAGCTGAAGAGCCAGAGCTGTCCGAAGACATTTCCGTGGTCATGTGGCCGGCATGACTAAACACCAAGGCGCACGGAACGCTGTTACCTTCCCACCAAAGTGGTACCTATTTATCTACTTGCAATTTCTTGCTTTCGAACTGCTAGGTTGGCTGGAGCTGGAACTAGAGACGGGAGCTCACTCCGTCATGCGGCACACTCGGGTCTCAAACTGCTGAACTACCGACCTTCCACAGCCTGCAGTTCAGCGTCTTAACCACTTGAGCCACATCAGTATAAAGGGTGACCAGACAAGTGCCATAAAATTATGGTTTTAACAGAGAAATGAGAGGTCATTTGCTGTGTACTGTGATTTTGATAAATGCTATTATCCCATATGGCAGAGAACCTGTGTCTAACAGACTGATTCTACTGATTTCAAAAGGCGTTGGTACAATGAGCTCTACTCAGAATCAGGTTATAAATGCTGTCTGAATTTCCTTTCAAAATATAAATTTATTACTCTTGCTTTTTAAAGGAAAATGAGAAAATCTGTTTGCATGTGATTAACTACCATTAAGTAAAAGATGTTATTTGCAAACACTATCTGATAAAAAGAGGACGGAAGGCAGGAAGGAAGGCAGGAAGGAAGGTAATATGCTGATCTCTCAAGGAAGGACTCTTAGCAGTTTTCCATGTTGTCAAAAATTAGCAATGTTGAGCTATTATGAAATACAATAGTATTACCCTGTTTAGAGTACTTAGTCAAGTTATTGCATATACCCCCATCTCTAGTAATACTTTGCAAAGTATCAATGGGGCAGTGCTCAGCAACAACACAAAAAAACCTTTAAATATCATGGCAACTTTAAATACTATGGCAACTATAGGATAATACCGGAAATAACACAGAAAAGCAGACAGTTTGGCATGTGTACCATACCAATTTGCTTGGCTACTTCTAATGAGAGATAGCTCATTAATTCACTCCTTGGTTTCAATTTTGAATAGGGAAATCTACAGGGCAGGGATTGCACCTATTCCCAGTAGCAAAAAACTAATGCAATATGATGGGTTAGGTTGTTGTTGATTGGAAGTGCAAGCTATAAACTTAGTAGAGCAAGGGTACTGCCATGTACTACTGATACTATAGATAGCAATCCGACAACAGCAATTTCTGTTTTTAACCTTTCGCCTAAACTCTTGCTTACTCAAAGTATATGAACATTCTTCTAATTCCTCTTCACTCCGTGCAATCTGGCTTCTGCTCCTTGAGTGCCACTGAAGTTTCACTCACCAAAATCTTTTCAGTGCCTGGTTTAGAGGTCCCATTCTCTTTGACAACCCTACTGCCTATTTATCACTCTGCTGCTTGATTTCCTTCATGTTATATCTTATGTTTCCACACTTGTGTCTTTGGCTGGTTCTCCTCATTCCTCTACATTTCTCACTCCACAAAGTTTAAGGATTTCTTCACACCCTTCTGCTATTCTATTTCTACAAACTATCCACGGGTCCTTAAATCCTATGGTATTTCACCTTGCTTTATACTTTTTATACCATCTGACAACACACGATTCATCCTGTGGACATTTCTGGCTACATCTTTGACTCTTTCCTTGCTTTGCTCGTCATACTGGCTTGACTTCACTAGAGTATTTCTGCAAATGTGTCTCCATCTACCCACATATTGTGACTTCTTCACCTTCTCCCTCCCACCACAGCAGCAATACACCACTCAGTCAATTGTTAAGTCACTTCTGTTCACCCTTCGCAACACAGCAAGAGCAGAGCCCTTTCTCTTGGTCATCTCAGCAAAAGTTCTGGTTCAGGCACTAGTCCCAGGCACCAGTCCCAGAACGTTTATGCCAGTCCCAGCATCCATCACTCTACTCTGGGGGTTGTTAGTCCAGACCAGTGTTCCCTCTAACCTGAGTTAATGTGAGCTAGCTCACAGTTTTTTTTAGCTTCCTGCTCACACATTTTTGTCTTAGCTCAGGAAGCATGGCTCCAAAGCAAACTAATTTATGCATTAGCCAAATCGCTCACTCACAACTTTAATGCCAGTAGTTCACAAAGTAGAATTTTTGCTCACAAGACTCCACAGCTTAGAGGGAGCATTGGTCCAGACCCAGTGCAGTTTATCTTGACCCAGGTACCATCATTCCACGTGGGGGTGATTATTTCAGTCTCAGAACGTTTATACTAGTCCCAGAGGTCCATCATTCCACTGGGGGGGCTATCAATTCTATTCCAGGATACTTTTATTCTACTCCAAGGGAAAATCATTGCACTCTGGAGACTTTCATTGTAGGCCCAGAGACCATAATTCTATTATAGAAGCTATTATTCCAGCCCTAAGGCAGGTTTTCTCAAGATCCCTCCTACATTAAAGTTGCCATTTCTGCATACTGCCATGTATTTCAATGCAGTCCATGCAAGTCAATTGGTATTCCTGGCTCCCATTATATCCAATGGACCTTCAGGCATCTCTCATGGTTCCAAATGGGCACTCTTGGCATTCGTTTTAGTACACCTTTGCAAAGATTTCACCTCTTAAATGATTCCATCATTTTTCCTTTACTGCTCCATACCATTAGAATTTCTTCAACCAGAACATCTGTATCATTCTTATCTCTTTCTTTAAATCCTTCCTCAAAGCCTACTTTTGTCAACACCCCCTACTGAAAATTAAGTTTAAGCAAGTGAAACTGTGCACATATTCTTCACCTTTCCTCTTGTCTTTCCCTAAAATGTCGGATTGAAAATTTCTCAGGGCTGGGACCTAAAGCTTCCCATCCCCATAAAACACTATGCATATGAATGTCTATCAACAACATTGTTATTAAACAACATGAATAGTCTCCCAACAAAATACAAGCAATAACGGGGAAGCAAAGAAATGGCTCTTCTCTCATCATGCCTCGTTTACAAGCTTCCCGCGGTCTCAAAACTAAAAAGGGGAAGGGGGAAAATAAAAGAAGCGAAAAGTGGGGAGGGGGTCAAGAAGACGTTTCTTTCCGCGATACTTTAAACCACGAACCCTCCCCTCGGCATAAACTTTACCTATCAAAAAGTATAAGGACTGCTGTAGTATAAAGCCACCATTATCCTCTTAGCGACTCAGGCCATCCACCGAAAGAACAAGAACAGTTGTTCACGCTCCCTCTTTATTGGTGCCTGCAAAAGCCCGAGACGGGTGCAGACACAGAGGAACGTCCGCTACCCAGCTCCCGTTCTGCCCTTCATTAGCCAGGATTCATGGGCGCCGCCATCTTGGCCGACTTGACCTCCACTCAGGGTTCAGATTTCCTTCCGGAGCGCAAGGCGGGACCTCCTGGACTGGCAGGAAAAGTGCCATCAGGGCTTGAACTGAGAAGGGGAAGTTAGCGGAGGGTTGAAAAATGTCGCGGCTATCTAATTTTGAGGCAGGCTGAGATTGAGTTTACCCGTTTCAATTTTTGCAGAAACATTTTTGTGTCTATCACAGGGTCGGCTCTAGAGGAAAGGAATGCGTGTATTTACGTTAAAAGTAGGTGTTACTCATATGTTATGTATTACGTTAAAAATAAGTATTTCCACTTCTGTTGTAACTTTCAAAGGCACTGAAGCCTGCTGGAGAAGGGCAGAACAGGCGTTTGGCTGTGCAAGATCATATAGTCGCATAAAATTAGCTTTGCGATTTTCACACAGTAACAACCTCTATGCCTTGCTGCTTGCTTGGGGCTTGCTGATGAAGGCACAGCAATCCGCTCAGTTTTTTTGTGGCAGGGTGGGCTATAGGATGGCACCTGCTGCTCTTGCAGTATGGAGAAGAGGAAAGCGTTGTGGTTCTGTGAAATACGGACACATGAAACTGTCTGCAGAATTGGTCCTTCTGCCTGCCTGAGCTGACTCCGGTAAGGATTCCAGGCAAAGGAAATGGTAGAACAATTAGTGTGAATGCAAGGAGTCCTGTGTAGGGGCAGACACGCCCGTGTAAATCAAACAAAAATGTCGCCTCCATCACTGTCCATAAGAAAAAGAACTAGCG